CAAAATTGCGACGAGTCACTCGGTGTGGATAAGCAATTTCGTCAGTGCAGTAAACAGCTAGCCTGGGGTTTTTAACGTGCATTACGCAGTATACTGCGCGATGCACGTTAAAGACCCAAGGCTAGCGGTTGAATTGCAGTGGCTAATTTGTTTTTATCTACAGCTGGGAGACTCGTCGCCCGTTGAGGCAGACCAAGTTCTAGGCTAAGCTAAACATACACACAACCCAATTTTTTTTTTTATGAGCTGGATTTGAGAATTGTTGTTACAGAAAAATTTTCATGACTGACAATAGTGCCCCATTCAAAATTCATCAAGTTTTGCGAAGAGGAGACTGATGTAAAAGTCCTCTTTTATCCTCGAAATTACACCGCGACAAAGGAATTTCCTGGTCAGTGGTATGACGCGCAGGTATACATTATACACCCATTATACACCTTTCCATAAAAGCGTACGAGGGCGCGTTCATTGCTGTGTTTGTGTGTTACGCACACCGGACTTTCTGGCTGACCGCAACTGCGAGCGAGCGCTGGCTAGACTGCGATTCAGCGCGTGTGAACCGTGATTTTTGTAAACAGTGGAAACGTGCATACTCGGGTTACGGTAGCGGCAATAAGCTCGTGTAATGCAACAAACATTTCGACCGAATATTGTTTTACGGTCCCTTTAGGAAACGGTGTATTGTTTTCACGATTGAAGCAAACTTGCCACGGATGCCATCACGTTAGTGCTGCAAGTGCTCGCACCGCCTAATGGGCGTTAGTAAACCCAGACATCCGTAATACACTGCAGCCGTAGTGCTCTGGCTAAATTATTCATCTCCAGTAGAGGCATCCGACACCCCTTCGGACAGACTGCAGACCGACTTCCCGTTGTCTAATCTGCTTTACAAGAAATTACTTCGCGTGAATACCCAGGACTATATAAAATATAAAAAAGTACGTGTCTGTTTAAACTTAAAAAGAATTTCTGCGATGAAACCCTAACAAGACTCAGTCACGACGCTCATAAGTCATGCAAAAGGCACGGCGTTGGCTGTACACACGCTGGCAGAATCGCCTGCTGCCACGCCTGAAGCACGTTCCAAGTATATTTACTTCGTGCGTGTGTATGCTTCGAAGATGTATGCCGGCAGTTTTCGTTTTGACCGATGGGACCCTCATAGAAGGAAGAAGTCAGGGGGTGTCATCAGACTGTCTTTTGCACGACGTATCAGCAGCGTGACACCGGCTTCGAGGTTTCCTGGTCGTGAACAACAAGCCACCAAAGTGGGACATTGCAATTTTGCCGATTCCTCGCATATATATAAAGTCTCATGCATTCGCTAGCGTCAAGTGATCGTGAACGCTGGTATTCACTCGAACCTAGCAAGAACAAAACGTCCACCTTCGATGCAGTCCACAATGCCGAGCGCAAGTTCGTCTGCCTCTTTTGCAAGGGTTGCGGTGACGTCAGAACAACGCCGAGCTCTGATTGGTTCCGATTGGAAGGATAGTGGGTAGACCTCGAAGCAGGCCGCCTTGAGGTCTACCCACTATTCTTCCAATCAGAGCTCGCGTGGCTCGGCGTCTTTTTGACGTCACTACAACCCCTGCTAAAGCAGCAGACGAACGAAGGGCCTGGCGACGTTCATGCAAGTCAAGTCAAGTCAAGTCAAGTCAAAATGTGTTTTTATTTGTACACAAGATGTTAGATAATTACACTTATTCAGACGGGGGTCCCAAAGTTTTCAAAAGAAAACTGTTGAAGGGACCCCTTGGTAATAAAGGGTTAGTCAGCGATCAAGTTAACACCATTATATATATAAAATAAAAAAAACAAGAAAAAGAAAAGAAACACAATTGTGGTATCTACATAATCAAAATATTAAACCAAGTGAAAAGAGAGAGCAGAAAAGCTAGAAAATCGAGAAAAAAGGACAATATCAGTGTGTTTGTGTGTGTGTGTGTGATTGTGTGAAAGGTGTTCCTAGGAGAGAAGAATGAATCGGGGGGGGGGGGGGGGGGGGAGGGGGGCATAGAAATAGTTGATGAATCATGCAGATAGTGTGTGTGCACGTATGGCTTGTTTAAAGATATAGAATGATGACATGGCAGTTAGGCAGGGTGGTAGAGAGTTCCACGTTTTAGTAGCAATGTAAATGAAGGTGAACGCACCATAATTAGTTCGTATGCATGGTACAAACAGTGACGCTTGTGAATGTGAACGCAGAGGATACATGACATCTTGATGAATAAAACTAATTGAAGAGCATGTTATCTGGTTGGTGATGAACTTAAATGTTAATAATGCTACACGATAATCGAGGCATTGATGAACTGTTAAAATGTTGAGGAAGCGGTATGCAAATTGAGCACTTTCGCGCCCATTCACAAACAGCATTGCTCGTAGTGCCGTATTCTGGGCGGTTTCTATGGGTTTTAGTGTTGTTTTATATGTCAATCCATAAATGGATAATCCGTACGAAATGTGAGTATGAATGAAGCTATGATAAAGCATTTGGAGAGTTCGTAAGGAAAATATGTGCCGTAGTTTATATAGAATTGGTATATTTCGATATATCTTATTAGCTGTGTCTTTTACGTGTTGGTGCCATGTTAACTGATGGTCAAGTGTTAGCCCTAAAAATTTAGTATGGTACACTCGAGTTAGGTTAATACTTGCAAACGAAAGCTGAGGTGTGTTTAAAATTAGTTTGTTTTTCGGGGCAAAAATTATGTAGTTTGTTTTCGCAATATTGGGAACTAATTTGTTATGGGTTAGCCATTTAGCTAGCTTTTCTAAAGTGTTATTAGCTTCCATGTATAGTTCTGTCACGCTTGCATTAGATATAAAAATATTTGTATCGTCGGCATAAAGAACACAATCTTTTTGTAAATAGGCTGCCAGGTCATTAATATATATTAAGAAAAGAAAGGGACCTAATATTGAGCCTTGCGGAACACCGATGGTAATAGGTTTAGTTGTTGAAATTGTGCCATCTAAAGTGACAAATTGGCATCTGTTTGATAGATAACTTTCGATTAGATTGAGAGCAACACCACGAACCCCGTAAGCACTTAATTTCTGTAGTAAAAGTTCATGGTTAATTAGGTCAAACGCTTTTGTTAGGTCTACAAAGATTCCCATTGTTAATAACTTCATTTCAATATTTTGCTTTGTTTTCTCTACCATATTTAATAACGCGAGTTCTGTTGATTTCCCTTTAAGAAATCCATATTGTGACGGAGTGATCAAATTATTTTCAGAGAAGAACAGGTTCAGTCGCTTTAGTAGAAGTTTTTCAATCACTTTTGTAATGACAGGAAGTAAGGCGATTGGTCGATAGTTCTCTGGTTTTAGTTTGTCTCCTTTTTTAAATATTGAAATCACTTTTGCTATTTTGAGTAAGTCAGGGTAAGAGCTAGTCGTGAAGATTTTGTTGATAATATCAGCCAAAGGGTGCGCAATGATGGAACCACATTTTTTTAGTATTATCGTCTGTATTCCGTCGCACCCTGACGACGAAGTATTTTTCAGCGTGTTAATGGTATTATGAACTTCTTCTGGATCGACAGGGTAAAGAAAAAACGTCGTGTCATTACGAGCTATATTTGGTGTGCCAGCGGATAGATTTGTGCATGAAAGATACTGTACGTTTGTAGTGATAGTTGAAAAGTAGTCATTGAGCGTGTTAGCAATTTCTTGTTTGTCCGTAATTATGCCTTGGTCGGTGCTTAAGGCTGACACAGTCTGTTCGGTAGTACTCTTATTTAATGCAGAGTTAATAATTTTCCAGGTTTCTTTGGGATTGTTAATGGCGCTAGAAAGTTTACTAAAAAAATACTGCTGTTTAGCTACGTTAACTAATTTCTTTAAACAAACATTATACAATTTGTATTTAGATTGAAGGCGTAGATTAAATGGATTGCGTTTTAGTTTTTTATACATATTATTTTTGTGATTGATAGATCGCTGCAGCCCGTATGTTAACCAGGGGCTTTTTCTGACTGATCTGCGGGATAGGGTTTTGGTTTTCGTACCTATTTGAATGGAAGATTTTAGTGTTTCTAAGAAGTTGTCTAGTTTTAGGTCTGCCGTGGGCGCCTGGTATACGCTCTCCCATGACTTTGTGTTTAATGCATTTATTATTACGTTGTAATCGTATATTTGAGTAGTTTGTGTTATCGATTGTGACACCTTATGTGTATTAGAAACAGCGAAAATGGGTGTATGGTCGGTTATGTCGCTTGCAATAGTGCCAATTGTGAAGTCTGTTGGATGACAAGACGTAATTATGTGATCCAAAGTGCTGCGTTTTGTGTCGCTAAAGCGGGTAGTTGTTGTTATGCATTGTTGTAGTCCGTAGACGGCTAGTGTATCTAGGTATCTGTAAGTGACGGATGAATCAGCAGAAGTGTCAATGTTTATGTCGCCCATAATGATGACATTCGAATTAATTTGAGAAATGTTTTTGAGGGTTTCATTTAAGCTGCCTAAGAAGTGCTCAACTGCATTATTTGGTGAACGGTAAATGACGCCAATGAGTGTACTTTTTGTTTCATCAGGAACTACACTAGGTGATTTGGGATTTGGCGGAATTTCTATAAATAGTGATTCACAAAGATTAGATGATATATGAATGTCATCTCGAACTCTGAAAGTAAGTGTATTTTTTATGTAAAGAGCAACTCCCCCGTGCGATTTAGACGGAAACGTTATTTCTTGTGATTCGCGATGACCATATATTACCTGATAGCCAGGGATATTGAAGTTGTTATTCGTGTTATTGCTGAGCCATGTTTCAGAAAGGGCGATAAAGTGAAAATCATGTTTTAGGGTAGATAATAAGCAAATCAGATCGTCATAATGACTACGTAAGCTTCTGATGTTCAGATGGAGTACCGATAACTCCGATGAAGTGGATGTCTGTCTGGAAAATAGGTCTGGTTCAAGCAAGGATACGTTCATAAGGAAAAGAAAAAGTGAAAACCGAAGAGGGACACAGAAAGATTTAGAAGCTAGACAAAGACGCTCAAATCATCCTGAGACACGATCTTGTGAACTGAGCTCCCATTGGTTTTTCTGGCTTTAATAACACATTGGTCAGTCCACAGGTGCATCCATTCCTTGTCTTTCTTTAGGCGCAGTGCCGCAGAGAAGAGTTTTTTGTTTAGAGGAGAAAGGTGATCATTAAAAAAGATTTGACGCGGTTCCTCTTGTAGGTTCAAATCTTTGCTTGTGATGCGAGCGCGGCGTGCCTTCTTTTGGAAATCATTCTTATGATCCCTCGAGATGAATCTCGCGATTATGTTGTGAGCGTTTGGTTGACTTGGGGTGGGAACCCGGTGCACGATGTCGATGTCAGCTTTAGTGATGGGACAGTTGATGTGGTTACCAATGTGCGTTAGAAGCTCTCCGAGATCTTCGGTCGGGTTGTTGGGCACGCCACGGATCTCAACGTTGTTGAGACGTGAGTACTGCTCGAGTTGAGCGACCTGCCGTGTTAGGTCTGTGTTGTTTGTTTCTAATAAATCATTGCTCTGTTTCAGTTTTGTGTTGTCTGCACTCAAACTATCACACTTTGCCTTCAGCTCTTCGATATCTTTGTTCATGAAGGCCAGACTATTCTGAGCCTCATGCAGTTCGTTCCTCAAAGAACGGAATTCTTCTGTGTTTGCAACATCAAACTCTTTTTTAAGCTCAGCATTTCGATTTTTTAGCTCATCCCTCAGTAGCTGAACTTCTTTCGCCAGCTCTTGGTTCGTTGGCATACTGCTCGAAACAACAGGCGTTACAAAATAGGGAGGCGATCTAAGTAGCTGGTACGATGCGTTTGTTGGCAAAACGACTTGCACGTACCTGTTGGAAGGCGAAACAATGTATCAGCTCCGGCGGTGAAGGTGCTGGCTACTTAGATCGCCTCTCTATGCCCGAGACAGCCGCTGTGGTCTTCCTTTTGAAGGAGGACACCGGATGTTGCCGTCGCCGGGAGCAGGGGTGGCAGCGCTGCACGTGGCGGTACGGGTGATGACAGGGCAGCGATAAGCAGTCGATCTGTTGGAAGGCGAAACAATGTATCAGCTCCGGCGGTGAAGGTGCTGGCTACTTAGATCGCCTCTCTATGCCCGAAACAGCCGCTGTGGTCTTCCTTTTGAAGGAGGACACCGGATGTTGCCGTCGCCGGGAGCAGGGGTGGCAGCGCTGCACGTGGCGGTACGGGTGATGACAGGGCAGCGATAAGCAGTCGATCTGTTGGAAGGCGAAACAATGTATCAGCTCCGGCGGTGAAGGTGCTGGCTACTTAGATCGCCTCTCTATGCCCGAGACAGCCGCTGTGGTCTTCCTTTTGAAGGAGGACACCGGATGTTGCCGTCGCCGGGAGCAGGGGTGGCAGCGCTGCACGTGGCGGTACGGGTGATGACAGGGCAGCGATAAGCAGTCGATCTGTTGGAAGGCGAAACAATGTATCAGCTCCGGCGGTGAAGGTGCTGGCTACTTAGATCGCCTCTCTATGCCCGAAACAGCCGCTGTGGTCTTCCTTTTGAAGGAGGACACCGGATGTTGCCGTCGCCGGGAGCAGGGGTGGCAGCGCTGCACGTGGCGGTACGGGTGATGACAGGGCAGCGATAAGCAGTCGATCTGTTGGAAGGCGAAACAATGTATCAGCTCCGGCGGTGAAGGTGCTGGCTACTTAGATCGCCTCTCTATGCCCGAGACAGCCGCTGTGGTCTTCCTTTTGAAGGAGGACACCGGATGTTGCCGTCGCCGGGAGCAGGGGTGGCAGCGCTGCACGTGGCGGTACGGGTGATGACAGGGCAGCGATAAGCAGTCGATCTGTTGGAAGGCGAAACAATGTATCAGCTCCGGCGGTGAAGGTGCTGGCTACTTAGATCGCCTCTCTATGCCCGAAACAGCCGCTGTGGTCTTCCTTTTGAAGGAGGACACCGGATGTTGCCGTCGCCGGGAGCAGGGGTGGCAGCGCTGCACGTGGCGGTACGGGTGATGACAGGGCAGCGATAAGCAGTCGATCTGTTGGAAGGCGAAACAATGTATCAGCTCCGGCGGTGAAGGTGCTGGCTACTTAGATCGCCTCTCTATGCCCGAGACAGCCGCTGTGGTCTTCCTTTTGAAGGAGGACACCGGATGTTGCCGTCGCCGGGAGCAGGGGTGGCAGCGCTGCACGTGGCGGTACGGGTGATGACAGGGCAGCGATAAGCAGTCGATCTGTTGGAAGGCGAAACAATGTATCAGCTCCGGCGGTGAAGGTGCTGGCTACTTAGATCGCCTCTCTATGCCCGAGACAGCCGCTGTGGTCTTCCTTTTGAAGGAGGACACCGGATGTTGCCGTCGCCGGGAGCAGGGGTGGCAGCGCTGCACGTGGCGGTACGGGTGATGACAGGGCAGCGATAAGCAGTCGATCTGTTGGAAGGCGAAACAATGTATCAGCTCCGGCGGTGAAGGTGCTGGCTACTTAGATCGCCTCTCTATGCCCGAAACAGCCGCTGTGGTCTTCCTTTTGAAGGAGGACACCGGATGTTGCCGTCGCCGGGAGCAGGGGTGGCAGCGCTGCACGTGGCGGTACGGGTGATGACAGGGCAGCGATAAGCAGTCGATCTGTTGGAAGGCGAAACAATGTATCAGCTCCGGCGGTGAAGGTGCTGGCTACTTAGATCGCCTCTCTATGCCCGAGACAGCCGCTGTGGTCTTCCTTTTGAAGGAGGACACCGGATGTTGCCGTCGCCGGGAGCAGGGGTGGCAGCGCTGCACGTGGCGGTACGGGTGATGACAGGGCAGCGATAAGCAGTCGATCTGTTGGAAGGCGAAACAATGTATCATCTCATTAACACTTCCAGCCAATGGTATGGTGGCCTTAGCAGATAGCAACGTTGAAGGACCAATCACGAAGCTAGAAGCGTGAATGGTAATAATTAAGTCACGCCTTGTTTTTAACGTGAAACTTTATTTGGCTAGCGTCTCCGGATTTCGTGAAGCCGCATTTCGTGATGCCGTGGCCTCTGACGTCCCGTAAGGCAGCGCGCGCAGTGTTGCATTCTGGGACGTCAGTTTGATTCTCCGCTCAATTTAGCAGAGAAGTGAAATTGGTGTCGTCACGTGACGTCAATCTCCCCTTAAATTTAGCGGCGAAATTGACGTCACGCGACCTGTACGGCAATTTAGTTTCTCTTCTCTTCTAAATTTAGCGAGGAAATTGACGTCACGTGACCTTATGTCACGTGATTCTAGAACTAAAATCAGTATCATCAGCACCACCCGAGCTTCGCCCCAATCAACATCATTCACCACGTGGAGATGCGGTATTTGTTTTTTTTTTTTCTTATTGCAAGAATAAACTAGGCATCGCCGAACGCTCCTTCTCCACCCAAAGGTAGGTCTAGAGGTCAAAATCAGATGCCAATGTTTCAGCCCGATCCGATGCCTTATCGAAAGGTTATGTGATTTCCTTAGAACTTTTAACGGGAAAATGATGGCCAACGAAGTTTTCGAATACATGGGGCTCTATGGCACCAGAAACCGAAAACGGGCAAAAATGGGCTCCATTTTCCCATTGAAATTTTCAGAAAATCACCTATAACTTTTGAATAAGGTATCGGATCGGGCTGAAGCTTTCGCATCTGGTATTGACCTTTAGCGCTACCTTTGGGCGGAGAATGAGCGTCCGGCGATGCCAAGTTTATTTTTGCAATAAAAGAAACATTGTGATTTTTTTTTTGACAGGTTTCAGTGAGCATGGTGTTGTGCTCGCACATGATCCCTACACTGGTCGTGTTTTCAAGAAAAGACACCAACAAACGCATTACACTTTCATCTTACGGACACGATCGATAGACGCAGAGCGTGCAGAGATGTCGTGTGAGCTGTGCTCGGTTAGAGCGACGCCTACGTAAAAATGATCGTGCCTCGTTTAGCGTGTTGTAACGGGACAACGTGACGTGGCATATTGTCGCGATGTCCCCCCTTGACTTCACGTGTCTCAATAGCGCGCCCCACTCCAGCGCGTGACACCACAACGTGTGCCGCGATCCTTCACGTAACACCACGACGTCCGTGACCCCGACATCAGGTGACGTGACGTGTGATCACCTTCGCGCTGATGGCGTCGCGTGAACGCCGCCCGCTAACTGCAGCGGAACTCGAGTCCCGCTCATTACGGCGGGCGGGCGGCGGTTTTTGTTGCGTCGTCGTGTAGCACTTTCCTCGACGATCGCGATCCTTAAACACCTTCTGCGGTGTGCCGACGATAGCAACCGCACAAAGATGACCAGAATCGCGAAGATGTACTTTTGGTAGTGATTCATAGGCTTCGCTTGGAAGTCCATTCTCAGGGCGCCGCCATCTTGCTCAGTGGAATGCGCTTGGGCGTGGCCATAATCTGATTACGACTCCTTATCAAGGCTTCGTAATCGGAGAGGAGGTTTTCCCCAGCCGAGCAAGATGGCAGCGCCTTGAAGCCGGACTTGTAAACGTGTATATATTCTTGGCTCCGGTTCTGACGAAACGTGAAACTGAGTATCAATAAAACAAACCTCCTTTCGTACTTGGTCGTTCTCCGGAGGTGCACGACAAAGTGCTCTGCGAGAAAGCAGACGCTTGGGCGTTTTTGTTTTGGTGCGAGAGGAGACCAGCAGCGCGGAACTGTTCCCCCCCACCGGCGGCCACGGCGAAAGTGGACCACGTGGACGCGCGCTTGCCAGACTGCCGGGCGCTGGACGCTTCTGGTTCCTCGTTCCAAAAAAACGATTGTTGCCGCCTTTTCCTGTCAGTTCGCACGGGCGGCATTGCTCCGTTCCTCTTCCTGGAGAAGAGAGAGAGAGAGGTAACGAGAGCAACAGAACCAGCGAACGCGCCCTCGAGGCCGGAGCCCTGAGAGGCCTGACGTCAACAACGTCACGAGAAGGAGGCAATCATGAAAGTAGGCCTTCTCTTTTCTTTTTCGTTTCGAGTTTCTGTATAGTCGCCGTCGTGGTGCCGTATTCAACAACTTCAAAGATAAAACACAAATGATCTAAAGTTTGCCCATTTGTAGACTTCATGTTTCCATAAAACAAAATCGGGGCACTTATCGACCAACACATTGTTTACAAACAAGTCCGCGTTTGCCCACCAGTCCAGGGCACTGCGCGCGCGCAGAAACCAGATTCGGCCTAGGTGAATCAACTGCGCATGCCCAGTGCCGACAGCAGCGCCACCGCAGCGGCGTGACGTCAAAGAGTTGAGTTCGTCTATACGCAATTCGTAAGGTGGAACACTGCTGCAGCTGAGGAGAGACGTAGGAGCCGCGAAGGTATCAATTTGGAGCAGATGGACTGAATGAGCGGTAAAGGAGCGAACGCATACCATGGAGTCCTCATAGGCGTTTCGTATTAAGCCGAGTTACACACCGCACGAAACTTCCATAGAGTTTTGGAAGCAATGAAAGTGTATTTGGTAGGGATCCTTTTGTTAACCTGTTATACAATTTTGTTGCCTCGTGGTGTTTGAAGAATAAACACTTTGAAGATTGCGCTCCCTGGTTTGCAATCCAGGGAACTACGAAAGTGTATGTATATGCATGAACAGTTCCCTGTCGTTGGTGTGGTTCCCTGGACGTCTTATGCAATGTTATTGGACTCAAACGAACACCGCCTTATGGTCACTGAAGAAAATTCAAAATCGTGCACTCAAGTTTTAAGCGTGTATCTCCACCTAATTTCACGCCCGTGGTTTCGCCAGCTTAACAACCACCTAGCTCTATTGGATATATCGCCGAGAA